TTATTGTTTCTCTACTCTTTCCTTCTATTCTTTCTTCATATCTTGCCAAATCCAGAATTCCTTAAGAATTTACTTCAATTTTCGGTAAGCCCTAATTTCCTCTTTCCATTTCTTAATTCCTTTGCGTTATTTTTTCTGGTCGTGATTACGACGGTGAGTGGTGAGCACATTGAGCCAAACAGTAGCAGTCGAACTGTGTCGGACATGAGGTTGGATGAGGAGTTGATGGAGTTGATGGGGGATTATTACTGGTGGGACCCTGTTTTTGTGGAACGTCTAGACATCCGTAAGAATAACGTTGAAGGAGACGCCGAGGTGGAACGAGATATTCCTGTGAGGTCGGGTTATTGGAATCGCCCTACCCGGCGCTGGCCCGACGACGATGTTCTGTTTCTAGGAGAGCCCAACATCATGACCGATGCTGACGTAGTCCTTCTTCGCGAGTCGGTGCGGATCCCTACCTCGGTGAGAATCTTTGCGCCTTATCCAGGAGAAAGGATTCATTGTCCTCCTCCCGGTGTGTGGGGATTTTTGCCGAAAGTCTGAGGTCGGGTTTGAGATTTCCTCTAGACAACGTAATAACCGACTACTCGCGTGATTGGGGTCTCAGCCTTAGTCAGATAACTCTCAACAGCTGGAAGAAAATTATAGGGATCATGGTCCTTCTGGCGCAAAAGAAATTACCATTTCCTTCGATCGACGAGTTAAGAAGCATTTTTCTTTTTAAGAGAAGTAGGGAGCGTGAAGGAGTTCCCCCAACAGGCTGCTTTTTCTGTGCGGCGAAGCCACAATACGACTTGAAGACAGGACAACTAATTACTGGGATTCCTGAAACCCTTCACGGTTTCCAAGACGAGTGGTTGTGGGTCGGTGGAGATTGGCAGTCTCCCGATTTCCGACTTGAAGCACCAATTGATGGAATGACCATCCCAACCCGAGTTGTTTCTTCTTTCTGTAAGTTCCTCTCTTTTACTCGAAATTTCCTGACGAGTTGTTTTTCTTGCGCTAACAGGTCGGACCTTTTCATATTTGTAGCCAAAAGGAAAGAGGAGTCGAGATTGAGCGGTGAATTTAGAGAAAAGCTCGAGGATATTGCAAAGCTTAGTGCTTCGGAACGCAAGTGGAATCTAGTGACGAAGAATTCTAAACTTGCTGACGCTAAACTCGGACCTAAGAAAGCGATCTCTGACTTTGAACCTAGTGAGTTCTTATGGTGTTGTTTAATTCACGACTTTGAACCTGGTGAATTCATTGAAGATTGAAATGATTTCCGTTATTGTCTTTTCCTTTCAGTTTATTACCCGCTGTTAGGATTCTTTGGATTCCAATCTGTTCGAAAAGCGAAAGATTACCGACGTAAATTTTCAGTAAAGGATACCGAGATGGGTCGTATGAACTTTCTGGAAAGTCTGAAGAAGAAAGCTGTTGACCGTGCTGCTGCGGGTGACGACTTTGGGACCACGTCGGGTCCACCGGTTACAGTTGCGATATCGGCCCCTGCTAGTGAACCTGTTACAGAGCCCCTTCACGAGACAAATACCGAACTTGTGGTTGCCACCCATTCTCCCCCTCCTGAAGTTGAGAAAGATACTGAAACGATACATCCTGACCTCCATGTTATCGTATCAAGTTTGGAGGATGTCGAGGCAGTTCAAAAAACAGTGGAAGAAGCTTCTTCTCGACAGAAAAAGAAGAAGAAGAAGTCCAAAAGGAAAGCGAGCGAGGAGTTTGATGTCGACCAAGAATGTCGTTCGAAGTTAAGGCAAGATGTTGGTCAACTCAATATGGAGAAGAATGCTCCAATTCATCAGGATGGGGGGGACACCTATCTACCTATCGACGAGGAACGGATCCTGGACCTGAATTTACCGGAAGATGTGATGGAAAAATGGTTTACACAATTCCACTCGATGATTATCCCCAAATTTAACAACAAATTTCATCAGCCTCCTCATGTGATAGAGGCAGCTCGGGTCCCGCTAATGTATTGGGACCCTACAACTGAAGCACGAGTGTCCGGATTGCCAAGCACTTACAGGTTCAGCTACGCTAAGGCTACATTAGGGAGAGCTCTGGTCGGCCTTTGCGCGATGGAAGACGAGTTCCGAATGAATGCGACTGCACTCAACGTTCGGAAAGACAAGCTGGAATTGCGTGATGGGCAACTCGCATCTTTGGAGGCAGACAGGGCTAATCTGATGACCGAGGTTGAAGAAAAAACTGTTCAACTTGTTGCAGCAAAAACTGAGATTGAAGACTTGACTGCTGAGAAGAAGCGTCTAGAAGACGAGGTGCGCAAACTTACGGCGCAGATTGGCGCGTCCGAGATGGAAGTCAGGAATAATCTGAATCGCTACTTGAAGGAGCAAGAAGACCATCAACGAACTCGAGAGGAGCACTAGAAAACTCGTCAAGACCGTGCTGATAAGGAGGCAAAACTGATACGCCTGGCAGAAGCACATGCTACCGAGTTGACGAAGTTGGAGAAAGAGAAGGATGCTTTTGGAGAATTTAAGTATGCGCAGGGACTGGAAGAAGGCAAGGAACTCGGGAAGCAAGAGTTCAAGGGTTCCGACGAGATGGAGAGGGACATCGAGCTCAATTCTTGTTTAAATTTCCGCTGGGTGATTGATCGGTTTGATTCAGGACTTTATGGCGTCGGAGACCTAAAAGCCATCATGCTCATGAAGATGGAAAGGTTTGGGTTTGATCCCGAAATCGAAGAAATTCATGTTCCTGCTGATGAAGATGAACGCTCCTACTGTGAGATGGTATTGGAGAACATTGAAGCCGACGTTGTAGCTCGTGGGTTTCCTCCTTTGGATTCGGATAGACGAGCTGCGCTTCGAAAGGCATACGTCAACATGGTTCTTGAAGGAGAGAAAGAGAAAAGGGCAGAATTTGCTAATGTATTCATCTCCACCCTTGCTGACTTTACCGTTGAACAGCATCTCGATCTGCTGACCCCGACTCAGATTAAGAAAGAAGTTGTGGAATACGCGGAGAAGTTTATTGCCACTGCAGCCGAAGAGAACATGGAAAACCTCCTCGAGGGGACCGAGCTGGTGAAGGGAATTGGTGACGTCAATGCCGCCAAAGTTAGGATTATCCCAGATCCCCAGGCCATGGACGCCGCAATTTATTCCAGACTGAGTAAAGCGGTCAAAGAAATCACCACGTATCACAATCGAGCACCAGAGCTTAAACTACTGGAAAGATTGGAAAACGATGAGGAGATCCCGAAGGATGTGGACATTTCTGAAGCTGGTATTGATAAAGACACGGGAGATCTTCAGGCTGAGGTTGAGCAGACCCAAGGAGATGCCCAGGTCGGGACCGAGAAGGATGTTGATGTTGGGAAGGATTCTGTTTAGATGATAAATGACTTGGGCTTTTGTTGCTTTTTAATTTTCTTTAGGATGTGGACCATCATGTTGGCACATCCCTTTGCATTTTTCTTTCAATCTGTAAGAACATGTTTTATTTGAAATGAAATGAAAATTTTCCCTTCCAATGATTTATTTACTTTTTGCGCGTTGTCATGTTTGTCAGCAACCTCGAATTCTGCTGGTTCCTTGTCTGACTTGAATTATCTAACTCGCTTCTTGACTTAAAGTACTTCATATGAAACACCAGTTTGAAAAAACCGACTTTAGGTACTTAAAGTCTTCTTATAGAATGTCGATTGGAAGAACGACTTTAGATACTTAAGATTTTTTACAAAATGTCAGTTTTGAAAAAACGACTTGAGGCACTTGAAGCCTTTTTTAAGAACGTCAATTTGAATAACCAACTTTAGGCACTTAGGGCCTTTTTTACAGAACGTCAGTTGAAAAACCGACTTGAGGCACTTAGGGCCTTTTTACAGAACGTCAGTTGAAAAACCGACTTGAGACACTTAGGGCCTTTTTACAGAACGTCAGTTGAAAAACCGACTTGAGGCACTTAGGGCCTTTTTTACAGAACGTCAGTTGAAAAACCGACTTTAGACACTTGAGGCCTTTTTACAGAACGTCAGTTGAAAAATCGACTTGAGGCACTTAGGGTCATTTTACAGAACGTCAGTTGAAAAACCGACTTTAGGCACTTGTCCTTTTTTTATTGGTAGAATTTTTTCAGATATTGTGCATTCCATGGGTATCGATGCGGCGTCCCGTCCAAATACTCTATCAGGTAGACCCCATTGGTTAGAACCTCGCTTATCCGGAATGGGCCTTCCCACTTCGGCTTTAATGGTCCAGGGTCTGGTCCCACAATTCTTTTGAGACGAGGTCACCGATCTTAAAGAGACGAGAGCGAAGTTTGGAGTTAACATATTTTTCGCTTCTCCGTTTATAGGCAGCGTTTTTGAGTTCGGCTTGTGCACGTAGTTCATCTGCCAAGTCAAGATTGGCCCTCATATTGACTTGGTTGTGCTCTTCTTCAAAATTTTGAACACGATATGTTGGGGACCCAAGTTCAACAGGAATCATTGCTTCTGACCCATAGGCTAATGAAAAAGGTGTTTCGCCGGTTGAGGATCGAGCAGTAGTTCGGTATGCCTAAAGAACGTTGGGGAGTTCTTCCGGCCAAGCTCCTTTCGCATTGTCCACCGAACTTTGAGACCATTCTTTATGATCTTGTTCACAGCTTCAACTTGACCATTTTCCTGCAGATGATACGGAGACGAGAAGAGGTGTCTGATCTTGTATTTTTCACAAAATTCTGCGAGTTTCTTGCCCTCAAATTGTTTGCCGTTATCGGTCACGATAGAATTCGGAACACCGAACCGACATACTAATGTTTTCCATATGAAGTCAATCATTTTCTGTTCTGTGATCGTGACTAACGGTTCTGCCTCAGCCCATTTTGTAGAGTAGTCGACTGTTACGACCGCATACTTAACTCCTCCCTNAATAATAATAATAATAATAATAATAATAATAATAATAATAATAATAATAATAATAATAATAATAAAGCAGCTAAATACTCCTAGGTTGCACACTTCTTCTTTTGCATCAGATGCTACTAGAGTACAAGAACATACCTTCAAAACAGCAATGGTCATGTCATAGTTATTTATCAAAAATAAAGACTGCGACTTTGGTTTCTGAAACAATTTCACAAGCTTAACAAGCAAATCATTTACAGCTATTCGCAGCTTTTCCATGTTGAGTTCAAGCTGCAAACCTCAGCCAGCTTCAGGGAGGAAAATAAATTTAAATTTATAAATAAGAACGCCCCATAAGAATCATGTTGGAAGAAGTCCAATCATCAAGATAAAAGTTAGCAAGAGATGAAAAAGCTAAGAGCCATTTGTTAGTGCATTTTCTAATCTGACCATTTCCATAATCAGCATTAAGTTGAATTAGCGAAGCTGTAAATTCAGCATAGCGCCTCATGACGTAATGCGGATGTACATCATATTCCCACATTGTCCTCACACTGGCATTTGTTAAGCTGTTGACCTGCTCACATTTCATTAGAGAATGTGCTCGAGAGAATTAACTCTTTAGTGTCTAGATCAAAAGATTCAGGCAAAGACAACAGGTCTTCAGGTATTAAAAATAATCTTATAGCTTGAAAGAATAATCGTAAAGCTTAAAGGCACCTCCTGTAGACTAAAGTGTAAATATAGTGATCATGCCGCTACTTAGATATCTAAAGCCCTCCACCGCAAAAGCAAATCTTCTGTTAGGTTGCAAATTTTAAGATTATATCACATTTGACTACAAAATGCTTGTTATGTAAGCTGTCATGACCAATGTCAGGTCAAACTGAAGTCCCGTTCAGGACTGGTTTATGTCATTTTAATCATGGCCCAAGATTTCCAATTACCAAGCTCAGGTCAAAATGAAGCCCCATTCAAGAACTGGCTTAGTGCAGTTTTAATGATGCCCAAGATTTCTATTCTCTCTTGGTTTACTGATTTAATGCAGTTTTATACTTTTATGCATGTTGCAAAGACAACTAAGTTAAAATCAATCTTCCTAAGTCCATTCATCATTCCTCAAGTGGCAATTGCTCTAAGTAGATTCTGGACAACCATTGAGGTTTGAGATACAATAACTTTCAGGAGTTAGTTTATACTGTTCACCGAAATAACGGGAAACTAACACCCGTTATGCCTTTGTTACCGCATACGCAGATCAAGTTGACAGGTAATGTTTGGTGACTGTTACAGGATACATAACCAAGCCCTTGTAAGGTACAACCATAAAACCACTTACATGCAACCATAACTCAGAAATGTAGAACAATCATGAGAAACATTTACTGAGCAAAGTTGATGATACATACCTTAGTAAGATCTAAACACAATATTCGAGACATAAATCGCTGGTCGATACAATGCTGAAGAGGTTAATACGCATGACAAATCAACCTTGCAATAAAGAGGACACACACCACAATCACAATGGAATTTTGAAGCCACCGAATGTCCATAGAAAACAACAAAAAAAAAAAA